GCTCCACTCGAACAAATATGCGATCCATAATAGATAAGATAAAATATTAATATGGCTATCTCTCTTTACGAAGGATTTGTAACGAACATTTTCATCGATGAATATTAATTTTGAAACGATTGAAAAATGAGAAACGAGAATTTTTAATCGTTTAATTGATATGAAAAAAAATTTCTTGCGAAAAGTGGTACTCGTGCAACGAAATTTGGAAGATTATACGTTTGTTAGGTGTTGAATGGAAATTTTTGGGCATCAATTGTATGCCAGGTATACTCAACTTCCGGTAAATTATCGGTGTCTCACGCATGATATCGTTCCCCTTATGTATACCATGAATAATGTTGAATATTGCATGAACATCGATCATACATTTGACATACGATTACGAATTAATAAGTTTCATTTAGAAATAATACTTGTTTTAACGATTCGATAGAAAATGTTGGGATCGAAAATCTTTTCTTTTCTTTTTTTCTGATATTTAATATTTTGAAAGAAAAGATATTCGTTTAATAAAATAGCCTAGTTAGAGATTTATTGAGATTATTTGCATATTATGGATTATTCAATCCACGAATTTTTTATTTAAAAAAGCGAAACCCTTAATGATCGATGATTTATCAGAAACTAAGAAATTAAAAAATTCTCTGCAAATTATTTATAAAATTGGTTCACAATATATAAATTCCAACAAATAAAAATGACACCTAGTGAATGTGTATCAAAGAAAAAAAAATAAGAGGAAAAGTTTTACAGGAAGCGTGGATATCGTTCCAGAAATCGTTCCAAAGCCGGAAATTGGCCGCGAAAAGCGGTTACGATCGAGTCGTGGGAGCGCACGATCTTTTTTCCCCTGCCATACATTTCGAATTCGCCCGCCATACATTAAACGTTGTTGTTTAAATTAACCGCGTGGCGGGGCATTTAACTGCCGCATCGGAATTACGGTCACGAGCCAACCTTTCACGGTTTCACGGCTGTTAGAATCGTAACAGACATGGCGGGACGAGTTCTGGGCCTCTTCCAGCTTCGAGACGGCCGGGACGATCGAGAGACTCCCCTTTTGAATCAGAAGAAGGGAAACACATGTAACGTGCTTTCACTTCTCTTCGACTGCTACACGTTGCGTGACAAATAATGGAACAACTTTTGCTTTGACGATATTGAACGGGGAATTTTAATAACGAATATCGTTACATCATCGAATGTATCATCATTTGATCGAATTTAATCCGATGAAATATTTAGAGTTTGGTTGAATAATCTTCATTCAAATTGTTATGTTTTAGATTTGAATTTGAATTTACCGCGCTTCGTGGAAATCTAACCTTATTTGTGTTAGATTCGTACGTATAGATTATTTATTTGAAAAAGATAATATAAAATAAAATATTTATAAAAGAGAGTTTTAAAATTTAAGATGATTAAATCGTTTTAAATGCAGTGTTGATTCTTTTGTTAAAAAATTGTTGAAATCGATCCTGTAAATAACTAGGTTATGAAATTTCATCTTTTATTTTGAGATTATACAAACATGTCTTTTCATTCAGACGTTTAATTGAATACTGGATACTTTGTTTTCTAAAATACAATTAACACAATAACGTAATAAGGAATATATATTCGAAATGTAAATTTGAAAGTTTAGAAATTCAAGAAAAAGATACACGCACATACATAAAAAAAAGGAAAGGAACAACTTGATTTATTCAACCCAAAAAAAAAAGAAAAAAAAATTGAACGATCCGACTATTTTATTTTAATTACGTTTTAATTACTTTTTTTTTAAATGCCAAAAATTAACGACATCTCCTGTTTATTTAATTATTTAACTATCGAATAATGGATTTTCGAAAGTTTAGATCCCATTTTTAAAACAAAGATTAGAGAATCGTGCGTTGAATGGACATGCTTCCAAGAGTGAAGAAACGCGTGTTTATCGCGGAGTTTATGATTACAAAAGGCGTTAAAAGAATACCTTTTCGGATTCATCGTTCATAGAATGGCACTCAGTAACACGTACTCCACTTTAATGACCCTTTCACGCGGCCCGACCATGGACATTATCTACTTTAACTGGCTCTGTACAACGCCAGTCTTCACAGAAACCGTTCTTTACTCGGATTCGAGCTATTTACCATTCCATTTTAGCGAAAAAAAAAAAAGAAAGAGAAATCGAATTGTTGAAGAATTATGAATCTAATGGATCTCGAACGTTTGGCAATCGAGATTCTGTTACCTAATAAATAAAAATGTGAGTGTATTTTCGTCAAATCCGTTGACTCTTCATTTTTTTTTTTCTCTTCTTTTCTTTTCAAGTATACAGTTGTGAAAAAACTAGAACTTTATGTAAGCGCGGTTTGTCTAGAAATTCGAATAAATTGTGTAAGAAACATATCTACTTATTTTTTATTATTATTGTTTCTTTTCTTGGAGATGGAAGTGTTATATCGTCTCGTTCTTTTGTTAGGAGAGAATATAATGTAATTCAGAGAGTTACAGAATTTTGAAATCAATTTCGAAGCTTGAAAATTTTAAAATTTAAAAGATTTGAGCTCTAACATAATTAAAATTCGATAATTCTATTCGATCGAAAAACTTTCAAAATTCAAGTAGCGAAATTCGAACGAAACTTTCATTCATTTTAAAATTTGAACTGTAGAAACGTGAAAATACAAAAATATCGTTCAAAAAATTTAAAATCACGTTTGAAAATATTCCGCTCAAGAATTTAAATTAAAATTAAAATTCCAGATTTAATAATTAAAAAAAATTCCAAATTTTTCTGCGAACGGGCAAATTTACATTCGTTAAAATTGTTTCATAATTCGGTCAGAGGTCTCCAGTTGCCATATCCTCTCATTGTTGTAGGCTCCTTTTTTTCTTTTTTCTTTTTTTTTTTGAATTGTCCATGATTCATCCCAAACATTTGAATTCAAATGGACACAAGGGTGGAATCTTTATGCCAATTTCACGAGAAGGATGCAAAGAATCTTGATCCTAATCTTCGTCTCGCCGAAATTTTTTTATCTTAAATCGCGAATCGCGACATACCAACGTTGTACTCGCATTTTGAATCACAATGTGACTCGTTTCGAAATAATCCCAAAGAGCCTGCACGAAAGAATCTTGTCTTGAGACGAGTATTTCAAACTTTATCAATTTTATCAAATATTTTTCTGATACTTTCTAATATAGTATATATTCACAATACAAAATTAATTTAATTTCTCATATCTATTTTTTTAAATAGATAATCTATACTTTTCATTTTTTTTTCAATTCCAAGCATACGAAGTAATAAAAAAAAAATGATATCATCTCTAACAAACTTAAAAATTTAATGAATCTTCTTTTTAAAGATACAGAAAAGAAAGTGATAATCGAGTTATTCTTCGAGCAACGAAAATCTTGGATTTGGATGCCATTATTCGACGAATACGAATAGAGAAACCACCGATTACAATAAAACTCTTTTCTTCAACACCATATATTCATCGAACGAGAATGTTGTAAAAAAAAAAAAGGACAGGAAGAAATTTCTCTTTTTTTCTCGATAATTGGAAACGTCGATGCCGATGCTTTTCCCCGCATCCTTCGCTCTTGACCGACATTTTCGATGGCAATAAACGAGCGAAATCGTCGCTTTGCATAACGTCCACGCACGATTTCCGCGATTACGGAGCCGTGCCGCTTAATGGGCGAGGGAACAGTGCTATTCGTTCGGGTAGACAAACGAGCTCTGTCTCCGGATACCGTCTCTGTTGTTGCATCACTCGTGACCTAGCCAAGGACCACTCCTTCTCCGCGGGGGAAGAATACAATATTCGTTTAATAGACGATGGTGGCATCCAAGAGAATTTGAAAATGACGAAATTTTTACAATTTTTAAAATTCTTAAATCCCCGGGGAATTTTGAATTTTCTAACAATAATTCTCATCGATTTAACGACAAAATTAATTTCATGATTCCTCTCTTGATTAAAAGCACAAGATCCTCGATGATTTTTCACAGTCATCGAGTTGATTAAATCGGTCGAAGAAGAAAATAAAAGAGGCAATTGCGAGAGCGTATAGTTCACGCATAAGTAAAACACACGGGGTGATTAGCGAACGGTGAATTATTTAGAATGTTTTGCGATCCCATGGCACAATATACCCACTTCTTCTCCATTATCTGGGAGCTACACCAGCGAGCTTTGTTCCGCTTAAATATATTACGACACTTCCTAACGTAACTAGTTGAAGAGACCACGCCTGGCTCGCTCTTTCAACGCGCTCCTTTCCTTCCCAAATTAATTTCCTCCACCACCGTGGAATTTATATGCACAGAAATATCTTATGAAGTTTCAATTTTTTGAAAATCGGAGCCATATCCTCGAATAATTCCAAACTCGCTCAGAAATTTATCCAATTCGTTTATTCAAATATCCTCAACGATAAGAATTCGAAAGATTCGATCTAAGTCGTATTTCATAGATCGATTGGAAAATCGTCGACCATTTTAATTTTAAAATCCAACCAAATTTGAGAAAATCCATCAAGACACATCGAAGAAAAAGCTGTTAAATCGACGACCGATCTAAGTCGTGATCGCGATTTCATAGATCGATTGGAAAATCGTCGACCATTTTAATTAAAAAATCCAACTAAATTTGAGAAAATCCATCAAGACATATCGAAGAAAAAGCTGTTAAATCGACGACGAGTAATACATCACGTACGCAGGCACGCAATCAGAAAAATCATCGAGTGGATATCCCCTCCCCCTATCCGCGAGGTCCTCGCGCGACCGACCGGAAGTGGCCGCAACGAGAGAGACCAACGGAGAGCTCTCCTCGTCCTTTCGCCGGCACGCGTTCCTCTCTTCACCTTCGGAGGGAACGATGGGGAGGACGAGTGTTTTCCGTGCGGGTGGGGGCGGTGTGTGGGGAGGAAGAGGGAGTAGGAGGAGGAGGACCGAGGGCTTTTGCCCGGAACGAGAGTGACTTGATGCCACGAGGTGGGAGATAGATATAAGGGCATCGTCTTGGAATAACGGATATCAGTGAGTATCGCGCTGTTTTCGCATACGACACACACGGGAGAATACGTACAGCGACTGGCAACATGTCGAAGGTACGAATCGGGAACCGGAAGTCAAGCGAGCCAAGTGCGCGCGCGCATTATTTTTGGTGTTTCTATTTTCCTCTCTCTCTCTCTCTCTCTCTTTGTTCTATCGGAATATTTTGTTCAGATTATGTAGGTAGGTTAGTTGTTAATCGGACGGTTAATTGATAAAAATGGTACAGGCAGTGCAAGTTTCTTTTTTTGATTTATCTTGGATGGATTATCGCGATAATCGTTTTGTAGAATCTTGTTTTGTGGAATTTTTTTGTTCGATTAGATCAGATTATAAGAGAAATAAATAATAGATTTAGTTAAGAAGAAGTTTGTTCGATGAAGAGGAAGTTGAGGGATACGTTGTTGTAGGTAATGGCTCGTCGTTTGATTTATTTGCGATGACTTGTATTCTTTAAATATCTATCTTTGAAGAGAGATTACGCTGATTAACGAGGAATTTTCTAATTACTTCCTTTCATTTGAAAAGAAACTTCAAATTCTAAATATCATTGTAAAAATTCGAAATTCATTTATCAAATTTTTAAAATTCTTCCTTTGAGTTACATTATATTATTCACTAATAATTAATTCAAGAATCCCACATTCAAATTCTTAAAATTTTCATTCTCGATCATTTTTCATGTGTCGAAAATTAATCAATTAATTTTTTGATATCAAGAAGGAACGAACGAGTACTTTTATTAAAAAAGAACGTTTTCTTCTTTCTAAAGATAAATTCTTTCTTCTTCTTTTTAAAAAAAAATTTCAAAATTACCAAAGTGTCTTCATGGAACGATGACCCCGAGAATGATCTATCGACCGCCATCAACTTCTTTCCTTTGCCATAGACAGACGATACGTTCGTTTTTGCGGTCTGCGATCCACGCGGAAGTAAAAACGTTCCCACTTCCGTGGATTCGTATTAATTTACGGAGCAAGGTCGACGCCGCGAAAGTGAAAAAGGACACTTTTCTTGGGGAGAGAAGAACCCGTGAAGCGGCACGAAAGATGAAACACGAGACACTTTCACGCGATGACTTTCCAAGTTTCCCAAGTACGACCAACTTACTACCCATCGAAAAATCGTTCAACGCCCACTTTTGAAATTTTTTTGTGGATCACTCGAGTGAGGACAAAATAGAATCGTTCGACGATTATTATCCCAGCCGGGGTACGACGATGATTAAACCTTTCAACGTATTATTGATCCGATTAATTGTGTTTTTGAATTATTACATTGGATTGACAAAGTTAATGAGATTTTAATCTAATAATTCTGAAATCGTTGAAATGTTTGAATTGGATTTGGTTTAATTTATTTCTCAATTTGTACATTTATCATCAAAGTTCCTCTCTTCGATCGATGATCGATCTTAATTTAGAAATTTTTTTTTTCCATTTACATGTAAAGTATTTTAGAGTTGTTCTTTAGATTTTTTTTAGGAATTGGGGGAGAAAAAGGATTGGAATTCGATTTTGTTAATGGAAGATAGTTATTTGAATAATTGATACGATATGGGAATTAGAAGAGATTGATTAGATTGATTTAGAATTACATTTCTGTTACAATTTGGAGGAATTTCGTGTGTGCGTGGATTTCATGTTTGTGCTATATTAACTTTTTCAATCAAAAAAAGGAATGGACTTAAACTTAGATAACTCGATATCAAGTTTTTTTATACGGCAAATTTTAACAAGATTGAACAAAGTACGAGTTTTTAAAAAACGAGATTATATAACCGAACTTTTAATTCAATTTTCTTCTACTTTAATTAATTTATTAATACTTTAACATTGTTTTGTAAATTTTTTTTCCAAAAGATTAATTCAATAATTTTTATTACGAATATTATATTTCATAAAAATTATTTTAACTTATTCTAACTGACTATCTATTCAGGATTGATCGTGCAGAGCACGTACTCGTCATTTCAAATTATCGAAAAATTGATTTATTATTATTTAACCACGTAGTTCACGTGTTTTATCCTCGTAACTAAACCTGAGAAACGATCTAATAACGATTTAAATGCATCATCATTTCCATAACGATCCTTATTGCAAAAGTGGCGCTTACATTGTTAGCTCCTCGTTCAACGAGCTGATACATTCAGCGTTCGTGGGAAGAATTTCGAACTCTCGAACAAAACTCTCGTCTGGTTTATAATTATCGATTTCTAAATAATTTTCCAATTTTTCGAGCCGTTCGAAAATTTCAGAAGTCTCAGAGCTTTTTTGAATTTTTAAATCAACGAGAGAAAGGATTTTGAGTTTAATCTGCCAATTTTCGAATTTTAGAATCCCTGAATTTTTTAATTCTGGAACGAGAGTCGTTTTTTGAGTCGTTCAAAAATTTCAGAGGCCTCAGAGTCTTTCTGAATTTTTAAATCAACGAGAGAACGGATTTTGAGTTTAATTTGCCAATTTTCGAATTTTAGAATCCCTGAATTTTTTAATTCTCGAACGAGATTTCAGTCATTTTTTGAGCTCTTCAAAAATTTCAAAAGCCTCAGAGCTTTTCTGAATTTTTAAATCAACGAGAGAACGGATTGTGAGTTTAATCTGCCAATTTTCGAATTTTAGAATCCTTGAATTTTTTAATTCTCGTACGAGATTTCATTTCATTTCATTTTTTGAGCTTTTCAAAAATTTCAGAAGCCTCAGAGCCTTTCTGAATTTTTAAATCAACGAAAGAAAGGATTTTGAGTTTAATTTGCCAATTTTCGAATTTTATTTCTCCAATTAAGATTTAAAATTCATTCATTTGAAAAATTAGGGGAAAGGATTTTGTTTTTTTAGGGTTTTGAATTTTTCAAAGATTATAAACGAACGAATTACGATCCATCGTGAAACTAATTAAACAATCAACGTGCAATTACAGTTTCAGAGCCTGTTATGCCACTTGTGCGCGACGATTGCAATGAGTCACGCGGTGGTGTTAAGCGGGTATAACGGCGGTCACGGGATCTCTTACACGGATTACGAGGGCCTCGAAGGATACCCATCCCAATACGAAGGACACGCCGTGTTGCCCACAGTGGCAGTTCCGGTACACGCTGTTTCCGCTTCGCCTGTTCACGTTACAGCCACTCTTGATCATGGATCTCACGGATACGATCATCACGCGGATCATCACGGTCACGATTACTACGTAAGCTACTACTACAATCATCATTACTCTGTCCTTTGATTTTTCTAATTACCGTTTTTATATAATTATTCATCTGAAAATTACGCCGAGTAATTTTTATTCCGTTCTTCGATTAATTTCACGGGGGATTGGTCATTTTTTTTTGTTATTATTACGTATTATTTTCGATTAATTTTATTTTTTAAAACGTAGGAATTTGAGCGAATTTTTTTTTATTTTTTCATTCTCTTTTTTTGATAAAAGGAAGGATTGATCTATCGTTATGATGAATTTTTATTTTTTATTGGAAAATAAATTAAAATGTGATATTAAATTAATTAATTATAGATCGATTCAAGTACGAATTTATTAATCTTATCATTGATAAAGAGTGATAATAATGTGACAAAATGTGAATAGATATTTATCGCGTAAGAAATTTTATTTTCCTTCTTTGTATGGAATAAGTCAGAGTTAATTAAATATCTTTAATTGTACGTATTCTTTATAACGCTCATGAATTATTTATTTCTCCAGAATATTTTTCTCATATTATCAATAAGAAATATCGAACGAGCATAAATTTATATTAATTACATTTAAGATTTTTCATTTTCTCTTATTAAAAACTTTATATTTCTTCTAAAATAAAAAAAAATTCTACAGTTCTTAACAAACTAATAATAATAAACTTCAAAATGGATGTTACATTTTCAAAAAAAAAAAAGTATACATAAAATTATCTTCTAACTTCCTCGTGATCGAATTGAATCGAAACAAAAAAAAAAAAAATTGCTGGTATTAATATTGACAGACGTCATTCACGAGATAAGATATTAAATTATCGACGATTTGCATTTGGAATCGCGTGTCGCATCGTAAATCACTTCACAAGGTGTGACGCTTTATGTTAATTGAAATTCTTTGCTGTGGAAAGCGGTGCTTGGCATACGAACACCTTCCGCCATGTATCTCTCATTGCCACCACCGTTTCCGTCATACTTTCTCGCGACGTTGGAGATCTAAACTCCCCGCATGGAAAATTCGTTACGAAATTTCTATTCGAAATACCGACTCCTTTTCTCGCCCGATATCTCTTTATAATCTCTAAAGCTATACACATCTCAATTTCTATGCGCCTAACAAAATACGAAAAGCAGAGAATATTAATTAGAATAGAAATTAATCCTTGAAAAATTCTCTAATACGAGCCTATTCAATCTACAAAAATTAAATCCAATAAATTCCAAAAAATTTTCCACCTATAAATATTATAATAGATAAAAATATATATATATATATATATATATCACGAGAATGTTAATATTAGAATTGAAATTAATTCTCGAAAAATTCTATAATAACGAGCCTATCCAATCTACAAAAATTAAATCCAATAAATTCCAAAAAAATTTCCACTTACAAATATTATAATAGATAAAAATATATATATATCACAAGAATGTTAATATTAGAATAAAAATTAATCCTCGAAAAATTCTACATTACGAGTCTATCCAATACAAAAATTAAATCTAATATCGTACAATAAATTCCAAAAAATTTTCACCTACAAATATTATAGTAGATAAAAAAAATATATATATATCACGAGAATATTAATATTAAAATAGAAATTAATCCTCGAAAAATTCTATATTACGAGTCTATACAATTTACAAAAATTAAATCCAATAAATTCCAAAAAATTTTCCACCTACAAATATTATAATAGATAAAAAAAATATATATATATGTATCACGAGAATGTTAATATTAGAATTGAAATTAATTCTCGAAAAATTCTATATTACGAGTCTATACAATCTATAAAAATTAAATCCAATAAATTCCAAAAAATTTTCACCTACAAATATTATAATAAATAAAAGAAATATATATATATCACGAGAAATTTTCGAATCTCTCTCTTTCTGTTTCTGCTACAGGCCCATCCGAAATACATGTTCAACTATGGCGTCCACGACCCTCACACAGGGGACGTGAAGACCCAGCACGAGGTTCGCGATGGGGACGTGGTTCACGGTTCGTACAGCGTCAACGAGCCTGACGGAAGTGTGAGAATCGTCGAGTACACGGCGGACGACCACAACGGTTTCAACGCGGTGGTTAAAAAAGTTGGTCCGGCCATTCACCCGAAACCCATCCCCGTGGCCAAGTACATATCCCCGGCGTATTACAATAGTTACGAGGAGTACGAGAAGCATCACTTTTAACACAATTGTGAATCGCGTTTAAAATGGGGAAGGAGGGGGAAAAATGTGAAGACAGGGTCGGAGAGGAGAAGAAATTTTATTTAAGTTAGTTGTACGGAGATAAACCCTTTTTTTTTTATGATATTTATATCGAGCTTACGATTAAATCGAATCAAACTTCATTCAATCGTGGAATTTTTAAACCATGAAGAATTTCAAAGGATACCGTGGAGATTGAAAAACTTGGAAACTTGAGGTTTTGTAATTTGTAAAATTGGAAATAATTTAAAGGAGAAAGTGAGAGGGAGAAAGAGAGAAATGATGGAATATATTCAAAATCATCCACGTGTCCATGTGAAATGTGGGTATTAATTTTAAACACACACAAGATCAATTTGTATGTGTATTTATACATATTGATGAATTTTTTAAATTTTTTCTAAACACATATTCACGATACATTTTATTTAATTAAGAGGTGCGAAATCGAAATAGAATGGTGTGCCAAGAAAAAAAAAGAAATGGGGGGAATAGGAAATCGTTAACCATGTAAGATTTATCAATACTTTTTTTTTTGTTTTTATTAAAAGAAACTCTATCTAAAACTATCCTTCGAATTATCAAAATATGTAAACGAGTGTTCGTTGGCAAAAATAATTATTCTTTTGCTATCTTTTTTTTTGATAAATAAATAAATACTTTAAAATATTCAAAATATTGTTTAAAAAATTAAAAAAAAAAATTGAAATTTTCAGAAATGTCAGAGAGAAAATTACACACTATCATTCGACAAATCGATTGAAAACTTTATTATTAGTTAGAAGAATTGTACTTAATTACACTTGGTTTAATGGTTATTAGATGTTAGAAGAGTTTGAAACATCGAAATTTATAATTTTCACAATTTTGTAATTATAGATTTAGAAGAAAGAAGAAAACAAAAAAATAAATAAAAATCGTTTATAATCTCTGCAATAATATTGTAATTATAACAAATATTTAAGTTTCATAAAAACTGTGCCACATCTATCGTAGGGATGGAAGTATCGTGTCTCGATATATAATATTAATAACGTTGGAAATTTTTTAATTTTTGTGAAACACATTTGAAATTTGTACATTACATATATCTTTGAATTAATATTTATGAACAAATACGAACAAACAAGGTTTTGAATTTTTAGATCGAAAATGTTAAGATTAAAAATCATAAAAGTTAAAAAATTTTTTAATTTTGAAAATTTTTTTATCTTTTAATTAAAATTTCCAATCTAATGGTTATTAAACTTTTCCAACGAATAATTTCATATTATATAATAACCTCATTTTCACTTTTGTTCGTGAAATAGACCTAACACATACGACCATCACTACACACATGTAAATAAGGATCAAAAAATTTATGTATTCAATAAAATCGTATCAATGTTATCGTATTAAGTCTTTCTTCTTTCGATAAAAAAAAATAAAAAATGAAATACTTTTCCTTTAATTTGAGCCAAAATTTTACAACTAATTATCTTGCTTAATTAATTAAGAAAAGATGAGAAATAAAAAAGAAGAAAAACTCGTTATTTCATCGATGTAATTCAGGAATGTATTTCGAGGAAGAAAGATTACAATGGCTCGTTAACGTTAACCAAGTTTCTTAATGAAACGAATTAAGCCTCTCTTTGGGCCACGTTTCCCATTTTGTGCAGATAATCGACCGATTAAAATGAAAAAAAGAGACTCTTGAAGATTACTCTCAGAAGAATTTCTTTCATTTTAAAATTAATTGTTTTTATTAAATTAAATATAGATTATTTATTTAAATTATTTAAAAATAAACCAAACCCTTTAAATTATTTATGTGCCAATAATCCGATCTCTTCAATAATTATTATCACGAAAAAAATTTTGAACAGATTTGAAATGTAATCTCGCGACGAATTAATTCATTTATTTTTTACACCTGATTCGTAAATTTTATCTAAACGTCTATTTCTGTCGATTCGTAATTTTTTAAACTTTTTCCTCTCTCATTATTCTCGTGTCACGCGATTTCATTGTAAATTTCGTTGAAATATATTTGAATGTTTTTCCCATGAAAACTTAATGACGAATGATAAAAATGCGCGAGACAATGGCGAAGAACGTCATTTCTAAGTTTACTTTGACTACTCGAGAATTGTTATAAATCGAAGATTTGGAAGATGAAATTGATTTTAATAACGAAGAATGATGCTTATTCTTCGGAATATCGAAAGGAATATCGAAAAAAAAAATAGGAAAGGCAATTTTTGGAAGAAAATTATGATAAATATAAACAATTAACTTATTTTGATTTTTTGAATTTTTTGATCAGGAAATAAAATTTTGTAATATCGAATTTTGGAAGCAATAAATAATAAATTATGATATAAACTAATTTAAAATAGGAATATAATTTCGAATTTTTGATATAATTCAAATCAACGATATTGCTTTCCTTTCAAAATGTAAGTACTCGATTAATCTGATCGATAAATCCGCGAAAATAACTGTTTTGAAATATTCATTTCTTATCTACAAATTCCACTTTTTAATATGAACTAATCATCGATTGATTGATTAACTTATTTCTATACATATTCATAGTATTATAAACGCGTATACTTTTAAACAAAAATTCTTAACAACTGAAATAAAAAAAAAATAACAATAAATAACAATTAATAACAAATAAATAACAATTAATAATAAAATACCTATAAAGAAATATTCACACCTTGTTATAATAAAAAAAAAACTCTAACGAAAACGTTGTTCCATTTAACACGCACACATACACATTCATACACACGAAAGAAAATTTACATAAAGTTAAAAAAAGAAGAGAAGCATATAAGAAAGAAATTTGACTCACCCAAGATTCCTTGAACATCTTGTTGGCTATGATGCTGGTGCTCTCGAACATGTTCCTCCCTGGTCCAGAGGCGAAGCACATCTCCTTTTTTCCTGGGCAAGTGTACTGTTTCGAGCAATTATTGCCGGAAAATTCGCATTTCGGGCCACGTGTGTTGGGTGAAACATCGCCGAGATTGCTGGAGGCGAAGGCTGCCACGAATGGGCCCTGATCTCAACCAATTTCTTCAATTACAATCCTCGAAGGAACGCAAAATCTCTTCTTTACTTCCCGTTCAATAACATCCGTTATTTGCACTCGCGAAAATATATATTTGAATCGTATCGTTGCATCGATATTGTAAAATAACGAAGAAAAAAATTAAAACCGATAAATTTTAACGAGATTTAACACGGCTGCGATGCGTATAGCACGACGTTTCAAAACAAAATGAAACCCGTGCCCTCGAACGCGCGAATTTCGATAGAACGAATACGTTTATAATTCGTTTGTTTATAGTTCGACTTCGCTTCGAATATTGTTATTCTTTCTTACATTCGATGGGAATACGTACGCGTATTTACATGTATAACGCGTTATAAGATTTAATTTATCGAAAAATTATTTGCGACTGTTTTAAAATATTTGTCAACGATTTGAAATAAATTTAAAAAAGTTTGAAATGTTATAAAAAAGATATATATAAATTAATACGTGACGTATATTTCTTTTTTAATTTCATAAAAAAATTAATTAATTATTAAATATTATTAAACAATAATTATTAAATAATAATAATATTTAATTTATATAAATATTAANAATAATATAATAATAATATATAATAATATTTAATTTATATTTATAATATTTATAATATTATATATTATTATCGAATAGCAATATTATATAATATTATATAAATAATATTTATACAAATAATTTATATTTAATTTACAAAATTAAATATAATAGTACATATAATTATTAAAAATATGAAATAAATATTTTTATAAATATTAATATAATTATAATTATTCGATATCTTATTCGATATTCAATAATCTTTTTTATAATCTACCAAATTAAATTAAAATGTTTTAAACGATTTTAAAACATTTAATAAAACTAATTAATAAACAAAATGGATTAATTCTTGATTATCAAAATTATTGAAACAGATTTAAGATAAGTTTGTATCATATTAATAATTACAAATAAATTTAATTTTCTTAAAACACTCCTATCTACACTTTGATCGTATAATAAAATTATTTTTGGAGTCTTTGAATAAATTAATAACATCGTTTCTTACCTTGCCAATCAGTGAATCATTGTTCATTATTCTCTCAAAAAGAATCGAGGCATAACCAATGTTATCACTGGACACCAGATGATTCGTGTTATTCATACTTGTCGGATGGATGGCGAACCAATTAATTACACCCAATGGTTTATTATCCTCATTCTTGTAAAATTGTATTTGCGTCAAAATCTTATCCACATTGTCCCTGTACCTGTGCATCGAGATTAACTTGTTCGTTCATTCGATCATCGAATGAAGAAAGGAAATTTATTTAACCACGAGAATAATATTTTAATACTTGTCCCTCTCCACTTTTGGATTGTTTAGATAAGCGAATGGACTCCTGTTTATATTGACACCGTGAACTTCCCCATGGGTGATGAAGAGCCGACCTGGCACCATGGCGTTATGGGCACGTTCGATACTCTGAAAAAAGTAATAATATTTAATCTTTATATTATATTATTTTTCTTTACTTTCCAATTTATTATTTCGTTAAAACTTTTTTTCTCTTTTTTAGAAAGAATTATTAATTATAACGATTAAGTGGAAATTAGATATTTAGAATTACATTGATATTTAGAATAGATATTTAGAATACATTACAATTACAATACACTCGAAATTTTTGGAAACGAGTGTTACCTTGGTTATCCCATTAACCATGGCATCGAACGTCTCCCTAACGAAACCGAACGTCGTGAGATCGAATAGCATGTGCAACATGAATCCACCGGGGGTGGAGTGCGAGTGGGTTGCACTGATCATGACATTCTTCTCCGTATACAAATCGCCATACTGTTTTTGGAGATTCTCCACCACCTGTAGCAACGAGTGTTACGATCTTAAGTGAGAAGATAAAAATTTTCGATATATCGAAATCG